TTATATTTTTAGCCTTTGAAAAATACGTGGACTCTCAGGCATCACACGAAACTCTTAGATTCAGAAGAGGCACAATTAAGGGGCTCTTGGATGTGTGTAAGCCGCCTGGGGCACTCCAGTCAGCTCTTCAGTTTGGCTTTCAAAGTCTGGATTAGTGGTTTGAGCAATCCCAGGGATGAGCTTTTGTAAAAGTACTTTGTACTTACTATTATCTTACTTCATTCACCTTTTGCCTTGCCTAATGTACATAGAAAGCCTCAACATATTTTCAAGGGGAGAACTGAAAAACCCTAAGGAAGGACTTGGTAAAAAGGGCTGTGAAAGGTTGTCTCCAAGTGATACCATCACTGCTCATGAAGCAGTCATTTGCTCCATCTTCTTTGTAGGAGAGGAAAACCTTTCCTTTCTTCCCTTGTAGATTCTTTGGCTAGACTAATATAATTAAATTGACACAGGCAGATTAACAGGAGAAAAACAAATTTTAATTTCATATGCATGGGAGCACAGAGAAATATGATACTCAAAGAAGTGACCAAAGAAGGCAGCTTTTATACCTTTCAGACAAAGGAACAATAAATCTGTTAAGAGTTGATAAGACAAAGATGGTTGGACTTGGGATAGCGAATTAACGAAGAAATAAGGTTTATTTATACAGCCTTCTTGGCCCTGAGTTGCCTATCTCTGGCAGTAAGTATGCCTTCCATCTCCCAGGTGCAGGGAGGGTACCTTCCACGTGAAGAGTTTATTTCCTACTTTCAGGGGGACAGAAGAGGGTCAGAGAGAGTGTCTGTCTTGTACTGGCTCTTTGTTGAGTAACTTTAATTAAAAATAATATACTAGGGTGGCATATTTTGGGGTGGTCTGCCCTGGACCTCATCACAGTGCTTCAGAAAACTAATTTTCTGTTAACAGTCTTTTCCTGTGCCTAGGAGCTTTTGTTGAATAGTTTTGAATGAGCTCAGGTACAGAAAATGTTGGCAAAGACTTCTTTTTTTTTAAAGTTTATTTATTTTGAGAGAGAGGGAGCAAGTGAGCACAAATGGGGGAAGGGTAGAGAGGGAGAGAGAGAGAATTCCAAGCAGGCCCCTCACAGTGAACGCGGAGCCCAGTACAGGGCTTGATCCCGTGAACCATGAAATCATGACCTGAGCCAAAACCAACAGACAGGTACTTAACTGACCGAACCCACCCAGGTACTCCTGTTGGCAAATATTTCTGATGGAGGACAGTCTTCTCTCCCTTGAAAAGCCCACAAAACTATATTGGGAACTGGTGAGCCATAACTCATAACTAGGGGAATTAATTTGGCCTTTCCTTTATGGTGGTGGTGTTGTTTAAGAAACTCGGGGTCTCCTTGATTGCAGGGTAGAGGATTTTAGGATAAAGTAAGATTGGGAAATGGTATCTGCTGTGTTCACCTATTGGTGATTTATAATGCACATTGGCACCTAGCACCTTAAAGTTTGCAAGAAGCCCTATGAAAAGATAGTATAACAGTTTTATTTAATGTGGTGTTTTCCAGACCTCACAACTCTTTTGTTGAGTAGCCATTTCACGTTATTTGGAACAAATACTCCCCAGGTCACACATTGGGAAATTAGACCATTGCTTTTAAAGTACATAACTTTAATATCAAAGCTTTGAGTAGAATTTGGGTATTCTTGAGAAGTGTGAAGGCACTCTGAAAAGCCAGTTATTACACTTTTCCTCTTGTTACTTGCCCATCTAAACGTTAATGTACCCTCTGTATATGGCTCCCTGGTATAGAAGATAATTTGGGAGTGGTGTATTGTTACAGAAGATTCTGTGCAATGGTAATTGGTGTAGAAATCTTTATTCCTTTTTTTCCCCCTCCACTTTTGGGTGGTAATTTAGTTCATGGTTGTTTCACAATAAACGTTTGGAATGGTACCAAGCATTTTGGAAAATGGGTGCAAAACCTTGGGAATGAGATAATTAGCCGTGGCATTGGATCATTAGTTTTAGAGACTAATAGAGTTTATCACTGAAAAGAGGTTCTACTGCTTGGGGTACAATTGGCTCTTCACCCATCCTGTCTGCTGTTACCTGAGAGACTGGGAGAAGCAACTAAGGACCTTTATCCCAAGAGAACGTGCTCAACTCTTTTCATGGTGGATTCCCTCTCTTTGGGAATTGGTGTCTTTAAAACATTCAGCCTTGCTGCCAATAGCTGTCACAGATGTTGAGTTTCTGAGACGGACTACTATGGAACAAAAGAAAGCATTGGCAAAATATACCTATTATAATAACCACCTTTCAGATTTATTTTATTAGTACATCCTAATTTAATATCTCAGTCAATTCTCATAACATTCCTGTTACATAGTTAAAAGAGAATAATTGTCATTCCTCAGTTTGGGTGCTAAGGCATAAATTTAAGTAACTTGTTCAAATTCCTAAGACTGTTTAGTTTTAATTATGAGATCAAAACTGGAATCCAGGTCTCCTGTCAAGTACTCCAGACAAGTAGTCTTTTTGCTAATTGCATTGACAGCCTAGTTTTGATTTCCAGTGTTTACATAAAATTTTAAATGAAAAAAGGTTTCTCCTGCTGTGCAAAACTAGAACACTCTTAGGAAACCTTTCGTAAGCTGAAATGTCATAAAATGAGGAAGCAATTACCATTAATTATGAGGAAAATTTTTGAGCATTCCCAGACCCAAAAAATAACCTCTCCTAGGATTTCCTGATACCTAGGACACATCTTGCTAACAGATGCACAAAATAAATCGAGGTAAATCGCAGATGCTCACAGACACTATTCAAGCTGTGGCAGCTTGATGCTGAGACACCGAGTGCTCACAGACACTATTCAAGCTGTGGCAGCTTGATGCTGAGACGCCGAGTGTGGATCCCAGGGAAGGAGCTGGTGAGGCTGCTCTCGCTGCTCTGCTTGGGGTGTGCGCTGCCTCTAGAAGGGCCCAACAAATGCTTACCACTATTTTCCTTTTTTCATAAAATCAAAAAGTCCTCTCTGGATTTCTTTCAGTTAGCAAAAACCGGTACTAATGTAGGTCTTTTGTAAAAGCGAGGTGGCATAAGATGAACTTCAAAAAGTGGGATATAGCCGTATTTGTATATGGTTTTATGGCTTAGAGAATTCAGTGGCCAGGAAACTAGTATTTCCAGTAGTAGTATTTTCTTTCTAGAAATGAGAAACTTGAGGCTTAGAAAGATTGACCTACTCAGTGTTGTGTAGTTTGCAAGTGAGAGCTGCCACTAGAACTTAGCCCTTTTTTGGTCTGGTGTTTCCAGGATAAGCCTGGTTGTTGGTAGCTGGTGTCTTTAGTAGATGTCAGTATTTGTTGACTAGAACTTAATTTTTCTTGAGACTTTAGCTGTGTTGCCTAGTAAGGGTAAACTGCACATTTTAGAGAGTATCAAACTCGTCTCCCAAATCCATATTAACCCAGTTTGTTGACTGCATCACTTGAATCATACACCTTTTTTCAGTCTAAAGTAATAGGTCTAGAAAAGGCAACTGACCTTGTTTCTCACAAGAATCAAGGGAATTTGGACTGAGATTTTATATCAGCAGTAGGACCAAAGCATAAGGCTGTATTAGGAGAAACTGAACCAGAACTGGCCTTTGGCAGGAGCAGGGAATAATCTGGTTAGACTGTAGCATTGGCTTGAGATGCATAATTATTGAAATGTTAATTCTGTTTCTAGGCCACATCTGGGTACTTGATGGTGTTTCCTAGGCTAGAACAGCAATGTAGGAATGACAGCCCACCACAGGGGAGAGCCCAGCAAAGATCCAGGAAATACAAATGGTTGTCAATTTATTAATCTAAAAAGTGGAACAGTTATTGAATCCCTTGTTGACACTCTTATTTGTTCAGCAGAGGCCTTTGAAAGTGATATAAGGTACTACTCTTATGCTCTAGTCCAGATGTGTTAACTGTGAGCAGCTCAGCTTAAGTTGGCTCTTCACATCAGTCTAAGAAACAATACTGCAACTAGATGGAATGAGAGCAAAGAGTTGAGTGTAGAGCGATGGTTCTCAAATTTTAGGGAGAATCAGAATTGCCTAGAAGGCTTGTTAAGACACAACTGGGAGAAACACTCCTAGAGTTTATGCTTTAGCTGGTCTGGGATGAAGCCCAAAATTCTGCACTTGTAACACATTTCCAAGTTGATGCTGATGCTGCTGGTCACGCTGATCATGCTTTGAGGACCACTGATAGGAAAAGTTGATGAAGTGGGTATATATAGCCGTTTAGTTCCTCTTAATTAAGGCGTTTGCAGAGAAGGGAAAAGGGAATTAACATTTAAGTCTCCACCACAGTCAACATTTAAATTTAAGTCTTGCACCTGTGCAAGGTGATTTGCAGTCATTATTTAATTTAACCCTTGAAACCCCTCTGCGGAGTAATCCTTATCCCTCTTTCCGTCTCTCAGAATAAACATGTTATTAAATAAGTTATAAAAAAAATTATTGGAATAATTCTCAATTCAAGGACAGCTTTCATTTAAAACTCAAAGAATAATGTTGCATATGCCATTATGAATGTGATTTTGTTTAATGCAGAGGATGATGTGTTAAATTCTGTTGTTGACTTTTATGTATTCATTACTCTTGTAGATTTATAAGAGAGATGAAATGTAGATCAGTTTCACAGTAATGATTACACAATAGATGGAATTAAATGTTGAGACATTATAGTTTCTCATACAGAACATAAAGTGATGGGAACTTTATCTTTCAAATCACAGGAAAAGGTAGGCCTCAGTTAATTTTGTCAAGTTTTTTTTTTTTTTTTTATGTTGCCAATTGGTTATTGACCTATCCTATTTTAGAAACAAAGAGAAGGATGGAGAATTTCAGAAAAGTTACTATCAAGAAATGACCAAATTCTTGAAATTGCAACCATAAGACCGACTCCTTTAAAATGTTCTTTGTTAATGTCATTTTTGAAAGGTCAACTTGTTTTTAATGGAACTCAGTGAAGTTACTTTGTGTTGTTGTTTGACAGATTCACAGAGAATTATTAAAAAAAGAGAGAGAGAGAGAGCAGTGATCCAAGCATTTGAATTGAAGGCATTCTGGGAAAACCTGCCATTTATTGTGAAAGTCGTCTTTGATCTTGAAATTAAAAGTAAAGCTGGAAAGGAATTCACAAACGAGGAAAAAAAAAAGTTTGGGATCGGACTCACAGGATCTGGGCTTGGAAATGCCTCAGGTAAATTACAACAGAGTAGGTGCAAAGTTTTATATTTTCCCACTGCAGAAAAGTCCATACCATGGATTCTGTAAGTTCTCTAAATCTTAACACAACTTGACAAACTCCCTTTTTATTAAGACATTTTACTTATGATCTCAGCTAGTTTTGAATACATGTCCTTCCTTCCATTGCTTCTATTTATTCCTTTGCTACCACTTTGAAATTTAATGAGCTTCACATGGGAAACATGGTGAATGAGAAAAGTTGATTCGAAGGTGGACATATCTGCTGACTTTATGGAGGCTAACCCAACTCCCGTGAAAATCAGCCAGCCACAGAAAGCCCACTTCCATCTCCTTGTCTGTTTTCTGTTTCCCAGTTGTTCCTTTCCATTTATGCCTACTAAATTGAAAAGTGTACTTAAGAGGAAATGGTGAGAGAGATCAACCTTTCTCTCTTTCGTAAACACACTTAACATTCCCATACATATATATATACCTCCCATAAAACATTTCTGAATGTTTAAATCTATTTATATTACGGTAACTACTTAGAATTGATCAGTTCTGGTTTGAAGCAATTTCTGAAAAAAAAACAATGAAGCCCTTTTAATCCCAATTGCACATCCATACTTCTTCCTTTCCCCCTCCAGTGGTTAGTTCCAACCCCCTTACCTCTTTGTGTTTGTTCAGTGCTGAGGAGAAGCCGAGAAATAATGAGAGGGCAGGGGCTTTTTTAGGTGGCTTTACGTGGGCCAGGCAGAATTACACCTTGAGCACAGAAAATAAACAACCTGCTGGGACTGTGCAGGGGCTCAGAGGCAGGCAGCAGAGGCAAAGAAAGGGGATTTGCTGGTTGATATTAAGAAGACCAGCGGCCTATCTTCACCCCAATCTCTGTGCCAAGTGGACTACATGTATCATTTGATGAGTTCTTTCCCAGTGTTTAATTTGCTCTTTATTGAATACTTGAATTTAGAGCTATAAAACAGTTGTTTTGAGCCTGTGGCCTGGTATGGCTGGGGAAAATCAGAGAAAGAAAAGAATGGGTTGGGAAGTACTAATGAAGAAAAACATAAGAGAGGGTGTAAAAAGGCCAGTCTGTGATAGGTAGAAGCTATATGAATAGAGGAATACAAGCAAATAGGCTAATACAATTTTTTAAACTATCAGCAAAAACTTGCAGAATGACAAAAAGGCAGAGACAGAATTTTTATTTTTTCCATCCTCTTCCTTCATCCACCTTAGATTTCAAAGTTTGGCCTTTTCACTTGTTTGGCCACTTTGGAGTATGAGTCCCGACTTCACTCTGGAGAGATTTATGTAGATGTTGAAATGGAAAAGGGGGATGGAGAGAAGGAGCATCAACTCTGGGTGCCAAGTTTTTCCCCCATAACTTATTACAGAATGAATGGTACCCTTTTCTGGAATCAGGATTTTTTGGCTGAGGGGGTGGGGTATGAGGATTAAGGCTACTGAGCTCATTCATGCCCAAGTGACTGGTGTCACCGGTAGGATTTTGGATATTTGGCTGTTCCTATCTTCACATTCCTGGAGGCACTTGTTGCGCTATCGATGCCTGAATGAGCAGGGAATTCTCCACTCTCTTTGCTAACTCAGGGAGTTAGAAGAGGGTGTGTTGTTAGAGATAGATTTGAAGAAATGTTATGTAGCTGAATAAAAGTACTCATTAAGTAGTGTATGCTGATTCTAGTGGCTAAATAAACTTCAGTTTTTAGAAGTTAGATATTAATAACACTTGCCACTATTTCTTTTTCTGTTTTTAATATACCTTCATTATTTTCCTAGTTTAAGGTCACAACTTAATGCTAATTCAATCTCTTAAAAGTGATAAAGTAAAAAATATACAAAATTCTGAAAATAATAAGTTAGTAGGCATGGGAGTGGGGTGTATGTGTAATAAATTGGCTTTGGAGTAGTCTTTAACTTTCTAAAATTAAAATCACTCTGTTGTAGCCTAGTGTAAGCGGAATGGATCCGCCTTTCGGGGATGCCTTTCGAAGCCACACCTTTTCAGAACAGACTCTGATGAGCACAGATCTCTTAGCAAACAGTTCAGATCCAGATTTCATGTATGAACTGGTAAGTAACATTTTCTTGGATTCTGCTTTAATTGATTTGAGGTAGAATGTGGTGGTATCGTTTTACTTAATTTATAGATGCCTGAAAAGAAAAAAGGATGTCAAGTTTGGTTCTTGTGACTGTCAGTCTAGTAAGTTGAGAAAGCTGTATGAACTCATTGAAAATAGTAAAAGGAGAGGAGGTGGGTGAAATAGGTGAAGGGGATTAAGAGTACATTTACCATGAGGAGCACTGAGTCATGTATAGAATTGTTGGATCACTATATTGTATACCTAAAACTAATGTAACACTGTATGTTAATAATACTGGATTTAAAACTATGCATTATAATTATTTAAAAAAATTATATGCCTACCTGCACTCACATAAGAGAAAATAGAGGAGGGTTTATCTTTAGATAAGTCCAGTTTTTGATGACGAGGCTGGGAAACTTTTTGATATGCCTAACTGCTAAAGGACTCTTCAAATGGGATGTTTAGGAATGATAACATTGAGCAAAGCATATGACACAAAGAATGTGAGGTAAAAATAGCAATTCCAAACAGTATACTTATCACTTATTCTTGAGTGATAAAAAAAATTTTTTAATAATTTTAATTACATACCCCTTGAGTAACATGGAAATATATAAACTGCAAAACTAAAACTAAGTACACAAATCTGCTAATTTACTAAAAATCGCTGAATTGTACACTTGATATAGGTGAATTTTGAGGTCTGTAAACTGTATTTTATTAAAGCTGTTAGAATATACCGACATGCACACACATAAGCAAAAACAAAACAAAAGCCCCAAACAAAAGGAAAAACCAAAACAGAACAGAAACGCACCAAAAAAAAAATTTCCTTGTTTCCTTCCTGACTTCCACTCTCCAAACCTTCTCCCCAAAGATAGATACTTCTAACAGTTTTTCTGTTCATAAATAAATATATGAGTATTTTAAACTGGGTGACACATTCGTAGATACAGTATTCTGTAACTTAAACCTTTTAACAAAGATGTATGGTGAGCAGCCTTTCATGTTCGTACATTAGACTTTAACTGCATTCTTTTTAATGGCTGCATAGTCTCACTGATCTATTTTAAAAATCCCATCTCTGTTCCTGAGAAGTAGCATACTCCTGAGAAGTAATGTCGTCCCCATGCCCAGGTGTTGTTAACAAGGTCTTACCAAAGATCTTACCCTTCTGTGACTGAGTTTCAACTCTTCTTTGGTTTGCTCTTTGTCTCAACATTAAGTTCTCATTTAAGAAGACAGATCCTTCTGTGATAAAGGTAAGGTTTTCATTATTTGCTTTGTAATTGAAGCTTCTTTCTAAGGAGATCCCCAAATCCTTCTAAGTCAAAGATCAGGAAATGTAAACCTTTTTCAGGAAGAGTGTTTATAGTAAAATTCAAGAGCCCTTGATATTTAGACCATACCTAAGCCTCTCAAGGGGCATATTTTCCCTTTTTTTCCTTGCACTGGGAAATAATATTATATGGAATGGTGAAGTGATCTGTAAATACCCTTTATCTTAAAGTAAAACAGACCAGAGGTCAAGTACTGATTTTTCAATTTGATACATGGACGTGAGGATGGAGGTGAATATTTTCTTTCCTAAAATATGGTGTGTGATTTTTTTTTTTTAAACTTTTCTCAGGATAGAGAAATGAACTATCAACAGAATCCTAGAGACAACTTCCTTTCTTTGGAGGACTGCAAAGACATTGAAAATCTAGAGTCTTTCACAGATGTCCTGGATAATGAGGGTGCTTTAACCTCAAACTGGGAACAGTGGGATACATACTGTGAAGACTTAACAAAGTATACCAAACTAACCAGCTGTGACATCTGGGGAACAAAAGAAGTGGATTACTTGGGTCTTGATGACTTTTCTAGTCCTTACCAAGATGAAGAGGTCATAAGTAAAACTCCAACTTTGGCCCAGCTTAATAGTGAGGACTCTCAGTCTGTTTCTGATTCCCTTTACTACCCTGACTCACTTTTCAGTGTCAAACAAAATCCCTTGCCCTCTTCATTCCCTAGTAAAAAGATCTCAAGCAGAGCAGCTGCCCCTGTGTGTTCTTCTAAGACTCTTCAGGCTGAGGTCCCTTTGTCAGACTGTGTCCAAAAAGCAAGTAAACCCACGTCAAGCACACAGATCATGGTGAAGACCAACATGTATCATAATGAAAAGGTGAACTTCCATGTCGAATGTAAAGACTATGTAAAAAAGGCAAAGGTAAAGATCAGCCCAGTGCAGCAGAGCCGGCCCTTGCTGAGCCAGCTTCACGCGGATGCAGCAAAGGAGAACACCTGCTACTGTGGTGCGGTCGCAAAGAGACCGGAGAGAAAAGGGATGGAGCCTCTTCAGGGTCAGGCCACTCCAGCTTTGCCTTTTAAAGAAACCCAGGAACTATTACTCAGTCCTCTGTCCCAGGAGGGTCCTGGGTCAATTGCAGCAGGAGAGAGTAGCAGCCTTTCTGCCAGCACATTGGTCTCGGATTCCTCCCAGAAAAAAGAAGAGCACAATTATTCCCTTTTTGTCTCCGACAACTTGAGTGAACAGCCAACCAAATGCAGCCCTGAGGAAGACGAAGAAGACGAGGAAGACGTTGATGATGAGGACCATGACGAAGGGTTTGGGAGTGAGCATGAACTTTCTGAAAATGAGGAGGAGGAAGAAGAGGAAGAGGATTACGAGGATGATAAAGATGATGATATTAGTGACACTTTCTCTGAGCCAGGTATGGTAATGCTTGGAGGCTTGCCGAAATGACCTTCCTCCTATCTTGAGACGCGGATGTTTTCTTTTTCTTGGTTTGGGGATCAGATGACTTAGTATCTCGGCTCAGATATGTAATTGCTTTTTTCTATTCAAGCACTTCTGAAATCATCACTTTGGCCTGTATAGGCTGATGCCTCAGGAGCTTCTTCTTAATTTATCTAAGGGACCTAATTTGTTACTCGCTTCAGCAGCTGTGCAAAGATACCGAGAATTGATTGACTTAGAATTATTCCTGTTTATACACACATCCTTCTCTTATAGTTGAGGCAAGGTAGGAGGGCCCACAATGGTAAACCAAGTGATGATGGTCTGTATTACTTAGGCTCATAACCAACGAGGCCCACTTAGTCAATAATGTAAAAAAGAGCTTTTTCTCTGTGTCTGCCCTGTCTTTCATTCGCAGTATTTTTCCATTTAAGAAAAATACATGCCGTAATTTAATGAGCATGCAGGCCACTCTACTTTATTGATGTGCAGCACGTACAAATAAAAGGGAGAAAGAAAGAAACCTGTGGGAGCTGGTTCACTTCATTCAGCGTTTACATGCTCAGGCTGTTGCCACGTTGGCTTGTGCAGTATTTATGAAAATGGTATTGCCAAGTGGCACACAGTTTAAACCGCACAAAGAAGTGAAGATCTTCGAATTTAAGCAAAAGTTATTTTCTTTAAAAATAATGTTGATACTATAACTTACACATTAAAAAAAAACTAAGTTAGGTTTTAAACTTTATAAATTGTCAAAGAGAGCCCTTTTGTTACAATTGCTAGAATTTCTGGTGGTACAAACTTTAATATTTAATTTTCAGAAAGGTTTTTAAGCCATGGTAGTTTATATTGTAGTCCTTGAAGCACTATTATTGCTGAAAAACTTGCCTTTAATGAAATCTTTCTGTTACAACAAACGCTTAGATTTGTGTATTTGATACAACCCAGCTGTTTGACTTGGGTAGAGTTTCAAGTAAGGAAAGGGTCCTTTAAATTTAATGTGAAAGAGAAGGGCTTGTGCCTTTTTTGGTCTACTTTAGAACTCTTGTGTAGTCTAGGTAGAACACTTGCTTTTTCTACTTAGCTGGGAAACTTCCTTCTCAACAAATTAATAAAATCTGCTTTGAGGGTCCCCTAGCTGGCTCAGTCAGTAGAGCCTGTGATTCTTGATCTCGGGGTTGTGAGTTCAAGCCCCAGGTTGGGTGTAGAGAGTACTTAAAATTTTTTTTTACTCTTTTTAAAAAAATCTGCTTTGAGGTGTTTCAGGGAAAGTTGTCTTTGTAGCCAGTGGTAAGTTACATAGCTCCCTCCCATGGGAAGACCAGAGTGCTATTTATGAGTGGTCATCAAGGTCTGTAGATCAGCCCTGTTGCTTTGAGTTCCATATTTAGGTCCAGGGTAGGAGGGTAGAGGAAGGGTGAGACAAAGAGGAGATGGGTAATAACTAAGGGAAATGGAATGTGTAGAGAAAGAGATTTGCCAGTGAGTACTTTTAAAGGAATATATAAATCAGAGGAGGTCAGTAAATCCCACCATCACCATGTACTGTCTGTCTCACTTCTGGTTGTAGTTTTGCTTTTTTTTTTTTTTTTTGGCTTTCAAGTCCACTTTAAATTCATCCTTTATCTTTTAATGTGGTTTTACTTGGATAAATGTGTTGAGAGATGAGTAGGTCTGTGAAGAGAGATCACTTGGAAAGTTGGCCCTCATTTCCATGTTCTCAGCCTTTTGACTCTCATAAGGAGGAGGGACCAGTGTTTCAGTTGATGTTGTCCTCTCCTGCCACATTCTCTTGCCTTGTCTCCTGTAGAAGAATCCTGATTGGTGAGCTTGTTGGTGTAACCAACACTACTTTGAAACAGAAATGCTTTGGCTGGCACTTAGCAGGGTAAAACTCTCCTCTTGGCTCTGTTTAACAATGCTAAATGTTTGGATGGCATTTAATTCACTCATTTCCAGTTGACTTGAAGTAAAGCCTCTTTGGTTAGTATTACTTGGACAGTTCTCACAAATGTTAATGAATGACATGATTTAACCGCAGAATCAACACAATTTTGTGGTACCGTTTGGGTTTTATTCACATTTGCTAGTGAAAATTTCCCTTTTTCTTGGAAGAAAGAGCTAAACAAGTGACTTCAGGAATGCAAAAGTGAATTACTGGTAAGAAGTGGGAAGAAATTCTTTGAAGCAGAGAGGTGGGGATAGTTATAGTTTCTTTAGACTGCTAGTTTTAGAGTGGGTCGATTGGTTTAATTTGCAGCAGACAGTTACAAAGGCCCTTTTGTGATGACTCGTTCCCTTGATGCTGTTTCTTGGCAGCTGGCATACAACAGTGCCTGAGCCTACAAAGCTCCAGGAAAGGTGTAAAATGGAGTTCCAGTCCCTACTTTGGCCTTGCTCCCAAGTTTCAATAGGAGCCCATTCTGTGGACAGGCTATGACTGTTTGGGGTCATTGGGATTACATGGTTGTAATAATAAGAATTGGGCCCCCAGAATGAAAGTTTATTTTGTAATCCCTCCTAAACATTTTCATGATTGACTTTACCAGTAGTCTGCACTCACCAAAGATGTGTGATTCGAATTTACACAATAAGTGTGGCCTTTTTGATTTCCATCTGATTATCATGTCAGGAAGGAATGAGACAGATCAGTATGGTGATCCAGCAAATGAAAAGAAAAGGGAAAACGCTTCATGGGAAATGTTGCATTAAACAAATACTTGATTTGTTAAAAGAAAAATATTTTTGAGTGCCTACTTTTGTGTCAGGCACTGTGTGTATTAGGTATTGGCTATCTAGAGATGAACCAGGGAGATAGGATTCTTCATGGAACTTAGAGTTGAGTGGGTTTATTTACTGTTACGACTTCTCAGTCTTTTAATCTGCTTGTGTGTCGTGTGACTTGGCAAGAGAGAGATTCAGGATGAGCGTTTCTTAAAACTTATTTGACCTCAGAACTCACTTGGGGATGAAGGCATATCTTATGGTAATAGTGCTTCTGAGAATATACTTTGAGAAATATTTAATTACCTTAAATGCTAGACCTAATGATCTGGGAGTAGAATTTTTTTGTACTATGCTTGCTCATGGTGGTCTCTGCATTGAAAGTGGCCATCTTTAAGAACTCCATTGTGTGTGTATGACTGTGTGTGTGTGTGTGTTATGGTGAATTTGGGATGTATGTTACTAGAAAATGTTAATATATTAGGTCAAAGAAAACTGATGGCCCTTAAATACTTTTTTGGAAAAGGCTGACCATATATAAATAAATAAAACTGATAACTAATTTGAGTGGAACAGAAGAAATCGAAATCTTTCGTCATTATTCTTTGAGTTTAACATGGGATATATGTGAAGAAAAATCCATTGAGACCATTTAACGAGTTAGATAGGAAAAGCGAGAAGCCCGGTAGGAGCTAGACTCTTTGAGTCACGGGACTTGGGTCAGTTCCAGCTCTGCCAAATCACTTAAAGCCTCCAATGAGCATGTTTCTTTGGGTAAATAGGGTTAATAGTGCCTTTTTTACCAGGCTCTTACAAGTCTCAGATGAAATGTCTGTAGGTGAAATGTGTAGGTACATTAAATGAGATAGATAGTATTTTACTAGAAATCCAGGCCACAGAAGAGAATGGCTAAGGAGGGGAGAATATCAGATAAATTGTCAGATGGATGGGTTGCCTGAGGAAGCTGTATATGAAAACCTTTCTCTTATGCTTTGGGCGAGGGTAGATTTAAATATGGAATACTACTAGTTCTTTAATTTTTTTATCGAAGTATAATTGATATGCAATATCCTATTGGTTTCAAATGTGCATCTTAGTGATTCGATATTTTTATACATTACAGAATGATTCCCGTAAGTCAAGTCTGTCACCATACAAAGGTTTTTTTTTTTTACTTATTTTTTAAAATATTTATTTTTAATGAAAGTATGGTTGATAATACAGTGTTAGCTTCAGGTGTATAATACAGTGATTCAACATTTATATACATTACAAAATGATCCCCACAATAGGTCTAGTTACCATCTGTCACGTACAAAGTTATTACAATACTACTGATTATTCCCTAAGCTGTACTTTATATCCCGTGACTTACATATTTTATAACTAGAAATTTACACATCTTGATCCCCTTTACCTATTTCACCCACCATCCTGTCCCCCTATGTATCTTGTATACAGTTTGTTTCTTGTATCTGTGAGTCTGTTCCTGTTTTGGCTTGTTTGTTCGCTTGTTTTGGGTTTCTGTGGAACACTAGTTCTTGATATTGGTAGGAAGCTGGGAGTATTTTTGTTGGTCCACCTGTCTGTGTTAAGGTGTTCCCAGCCATACTAGGTTAATATCTGGGGGCCAGTAGTTTCTTCGAGCCAGTAAGCTTTACTTGGCTAAAGCCCCATTTCTAGTGGCCCAGTGTGGCCTTTGCCCTTTTTCCAAAGCTGGGTTGGTAACTGGAACAAGATAAGATCCTTTAATTTGAAGTGGCACTAATAAATAGGCCAAAGCCATTGCTTTATGTATCTAACACAGTTTTCAAAGATGAGACTTCTAGGAATGATTGTGTGACTCAACTGCATCATTCTTAAGAAGAACTTAACATTTACTGTTAACTCCTTGCCATATTGTTTTAAATGACCACATGTGCAGTTTCATGCTGTTAATGCTAACAGTGCTGCAGAAGCTTCTCTTGATTGCTGCCCTGAAATCATTCTGGTCTCCAAATAGATTCTTTTTGAAAAGGTCATGTTTGTTGAAGTATTTATTTTATGTATTGTCATACATAAAATTCACCCTGCTTTAAGTAATACATCTTCTTAAGTTTTGACAAGTGTGTATAGTGGTGGTTGTGTAACCATCAAGATATAGAAGAGTTTGATCACCCCCCACAATTCCTTTGTGTTCCTTTAGTCAGCCCTACCCTCCACCCCCGACGCCTGGAAGCTGCTTTCTAGTTTTGACTGTAGTTTTGCCTTTTCCAAAATGTCATAGAAATGGACCATATTTCTGATTAATTCTTTCTTTAAGTTTATTTATTTATTTTGAGAGTAAGAGAGAGTGAGTGGGCAAGGGAGAGAGAGAGGGAAAGAGAGAATCCCTGATGTGGGGCTCAAACTTAGAAACTGTGAGATCATGACCTGAGCTGAAATCGAGTCGGATGCTTAACCTGCTGAGCCACCCGTGCACCTGTCTGATTAATTCTTAATCTAAAGAAAACCTGGTAAAATTATGAAATTCTAACTTTGTTCCAAAATGTGCAGATGTTATCACTTTCTTAATGGTCAGTTCCAGACAAGTAATGATTTTAGCAGGGAAAGTGGTCATTTTGCTAGGCCAGTGGTGCCCAAGTTTTCATGGGCACCTTGGGGTTGTATATGCCTCGTGTGGGGCCCATCTCCACTCCCCTGCATACCTGGCAGTAGTGATGTGGAGTACACTGAGATGCACATTCTCTGAGGGTATCTTAAATTTGAGGGTCCTTCTGCGTGAGGTCTGACCAACAGTTCTAGCAGTTCAGTGTTAAGTATTTTCTGAAACTCCCCGTTAGTAAGGAAAATAACTTCTTAAAAAGTGAAGTAAATATAAATTGCTTTCAGTAAAATATTAGACTATCCATATATGTTTTTATTTGAGAGCCTATGCAAGAATTCTTATTTTTGTACTTTTAAAAATGGGTTAGGGTCAGAGGTAGGAAAAAAACCACTGCTATCTTACAAAATTCTGTCTAGTAGGAGACCATCATAGAAATACACACACCCGTCTGTCTGGGAATGTTTTGGATGCATAAATTTTAGGAGAAAGACATTAAAAATCACAGTGTAGTGTCTTAGTACCATTATCTAATGGTATGTTTGACATTCCTGTAGCTATATTTCATTATTCTCTCAGTGAGAGCCTATGTGAAGTTACCAAAGAAGATGTCATATACTAACTTACAAGAACCAAAGAGAAATATAAGGAGGATGAGCAGTACAGTTATTGGTGTTTATTAATCTCTGAGTATTTTACAAATTAGAGATTTCCATATTAAAAGTTGTTTTGTAGACCTGGTCTATTATCTTTGACATGCCAGTGGTGTTCTCAGATGAAATGAATCAAGTGATAAATAGATCTTTTTATTTGCCCATATTGCTATATTGAAATTTATGGAACTTAAAAAATTGGGGGTGGGGGACTTTTTTTTTTTTTAAGGCTATGAAAATGATTCTGTGGAAGACTTGAAGGAGATGACTTCAATATCCTCTCGGAAGAGAGGTAAAAGAAGGTACTTCTGGGAGTATAGTGAACAGCTCACACCGTCACAGCAAGAGAGGATGCTAAGGCCATCTGAATGGAACCGCGATACCTTGCCAAGTAATATGTACCAGAAAAATGGCTTACATCATGGTAAGAGGGAATTACAGTCAAGCATTTTGTGTCACTTTATTTTTTTAATGTTTTTATTTATTTTGAGAGAAAGTGCAAAACAGAGGAGGAACAGAGAGAGAGGGAGAGAGAGACTTCTAAGCAGGCTCCATGCTCAGTGTGGAGCTCAGTGCGGGGCTTGATCTCACAACCAGGAGATCATGACCTGAGCTGAAATCAAGATCAAGAGCTGGATGATTCTGAGCCACCCAGGTGCCCCTCATGTCACTTTAAATAGAGGCATAAGCCATAGTGCTTACTAAGTGTACTTCGTATTCAGCCATTCCTGGCAAAGTGGAGAGGGGAACAGCAGAGCTGCTGTATTTGCTGTTACTGCAGATGCTCACCAGTAACCTTTACCAGTTAGGAGAGCCATCACCTAAACAGGGAAGAAGGCCTGTGCAGAAACCATTTCTAGCCATTCCCTATTGTATTTATCCTACCCAGGAAATGACCAGGAGGCTGCCCGGCCTGCCACAGTTGCTGTAAAGCAGAAGGAGAGAAATGGAATGGGTTCCAGCATCTTTCTCTTCTATTCTCATCCAGTCTCCAGGCTGAAATGTAAACAGGGAGATTGGAATCAAAATGCTGATTGGAAGGGGTGCCTCGCTGGCTCAGTTGGTAGAGTGTGCAACTCTTGATCTCAGAATCATGAGTTTAAGCCCCATGTTGGGTGTGGAGCCTACTTAAAAAAAAATGGAGGTGGAAAGAAAAGAGGTGGGAAGAAGAAGGGAATAATTGTATAGAAAAGCACTGGAGAGAGAAGAGTTGAATAGTAGGAATCGAAAGAAACTTGTAACCTTAGGCAGGCCAAATTTTCAATTGTGAGCCAAGGAAGATGTAGTTAAGTTAGAATTTCTTTTTTTATTCTGTATGATCCAAAATCTGTACTGAAAAGGGGGAGGGCATCAGGAAGTTTGGCGCTCAGTGAGCAGTTTTTGTAATCTCTCATGCTACAGATTTATGTTGCTAAGCAGTTTTGACACAGGAATTATATCAAAAGTGTATCTGTGCCTCATTCTCCTTTTCCACTGGCACTTAGTCTATATTCTACTGTTTCTCAGTGAATAGACCTTGTTTTGGCCTCCAGAGCAGTTTTCTACCAGAAATGAAAAGACACGTCCACTAAATAGCTCTAGGTAGCATGTGGCGAGTACAAGGAAAGTTGTTTGGTGTATTATAGTTCAGAGGACAGGGCCATCACTCTTGCCTGCAGTGATAGGGCAAGAGCCCTGAGTCTTCTGTGCTGTTATTTATCAAACTAACCAAGGAAGAGCTTTCAAAAAAGACAGTCTTTATTTGCTGGCCTTTTGAGTCCAGCAAGAGGGAATACATGTCTGAGAAATTTTCAGACATAGCATCAAAGCATCTTGGTTTGAGTAAAATCTCCAGACTCTTTTCTGGGTGTATATTCTCCCCTAGCCCTGATTTTTGGGCGTGGTGAACTTTCACTCCAGTCCTGAGGTTTGAGATACTTATTACCACCATGCGTATAATTGAGATTCTGTCCTACCAGGGCTAGAAACTCTAAGGTGAATAAGGACTCAGCAGAGACGGGCACTGTGACACATTTACCCCATTTCTTGGAGTTACAAGGTGGGTAGGAGGGGAGGCTCGCACCTTTAGCATAGGCTTTTAACATGCTGAGACTTCTGAAGCGTGCCAAGACTGCTAAGAAAGAAAAAAGGGGGAGGGAGAAATGTGGTTTTAAAATATGGCTGTAGAACATATCTTTTGTTACATAAAATGAGCTAACTAAAACTTCTTTATACCGTCTATAGGAAAATATGCAGTCAAAAAGTCACGGAGAACTGATGTAGAAGACCTGACTCCAAATCCTAAAAAACTACTCCAGATAGGCAATGAGCTACGGAAACTGAATAAGGTGATCAGTGATCTGACTCCAGTCAGTGAGCTTCCCTTAACAGCCCGGCCAAGGTCAAGGAAGGAAAAAAATAAGCTGGCTTCCAGGTAAATGATAATCATGTTCACCTGTGTAAATAAGCTCTGGGCAGTGAGGTTAGATTTTCAGTGAGCTTTTATAGATGACCATCAACCTTTTATTCAGATATATTCTTTTATAAAAACTACAGTGAGAGTGTTCTGACTTTTCCTTTGAAAATAAAAGATGGTATTTATGCTTTGTTTATGCTTCATAATACCAAAAGATGGTAGTACACTTTTAAAGTGGAGAGGTGAAAGGACTCAAGTGCGTTATTATTACAACAAGGAAAATTTTTATCATAATTTTTTGTTTTGCGGTAAGTCAAATTTTTTACTTGGATATAATTTACTTGAGGTAAAATAGATCCCTTTTAATGTACACTTTTTACGGGTTTTTACAAACATACCCAGTCTCATAAACACCACCACAATCAAGATAATGAATATTTTTCCATCACCTTAAAAAAATTTCCTCATGCCTCCTTGTAAAGTGAACCCCTTCTCCCACCCCTAATTCCTCGCAACCACTAAATCTGTTTTTTGACACCACAGTTTTGCCTTTTCTAGAATGTTATATAGATAGAATCCTATTATATGTGGCCTTTTGAATCTTGCTTCTTTGATTTAACATGATGAATTTGAGATTCATCCATGTTGTTGAGTGGAGTAATAGTTTGTTCCTTTTTATTGCTAAGGAGTATACTTTTGTAGGGATATACTGTAGTTTAACCATTCCCTAGTTGAAGGACATTTGGGTTGTTTCTGCTTCTTGCCAATAATGAAGAAAACCACCATAAACATTCACTTATAGGTGTTTGTGTGAACATAAGTTTGCATTTCTTTCTCTGTGTTTAACTTCATAAGAAGTTGCCAGAGTACCTATATCTGAAGTAATAAAGTAAAATTTTTAAAAATTACTGTTTTTCAAAGTAGCGGTAAGTAGTGTTTACATCCCAGTTAGCAACACATGATGGTTCCACTTTACATTCTCTTGGTATTGTCAGTTTCTGTTTATTTTAGTGTGCTGATCATAGCTTTATTTTTGGATGTTTGCTAAAATTTTTTAAAAATCAGTTTGGATTAATGATTGCATTGTGTGTTTTTTGGAAACTGAGTTCCTTGACATAAACATCAATAGGCAGTGATTTTTGGTTGCTATTAGAAAATGTTTGACAGCAGCAAGAAGTATATTCTGAATGTTCACTTAAAAAAAAAAGTGAACTAATTGCTCCTTCCTTTCACAGGGCTTGTCGGTTAAAGAAAAAAGCCCAGTATGAAGCTAATAAAGTGAAATTATGGGGCCTCAACACAGAATATGGTAAACCTAAACTTTTAAGAATTTAATTAACCTCCTGTTATTTTGCCGACCACTCTCTTTTTCTTCAGTTTTGTTATTTGCTTTCCCTGTATTCTGCCAAGTTTTAGGCCAGCCTCCTTTTTGTTCATTCATGCAGTAAGCTACATACTCACTCTTATTTATTCATGTTCTCTTTTTAGTGAGTATATCTCTGGCTCCCCATGCCAAATCTCCTCTCTGCCCTAAAGAGCTTGTATACTTGTGACCACAATAATCCCCTACTTCCATTTTACATTTACATTTGTGTTGCAGGGTTAGCCAGACTTATCTGTGTTTTGCAAATTTGACGGCTCCGTAGACTCATCTGGGTACATGTTAAAATATAGATTCCTAGACTTCTCCCCAGATCCAATGAATTGGAACCTGTGCAAGTAGAACCCAGGAGTCCATATTTTTGACACTACTCCAGATTAGGCAACTGTCTTAGCACATATTTGGGAACTGTTGGTTTAGATCAGTGCCCCCCCAGTCTTTCACAACATGGCACATGTAGAAAATTATCATCTCTAAGACATCCTGGCATATAACAGAGTAGGCTGCTCATGGGAGGGGAGGCCCCTCATGAGCGGAGAGGATTACTATCTAAAACACCTGGAACCCTTTCACAGCACTCTAGAGGTTTGGAAAGCTCTGGTTTTGATCTTCGGTAATAAGAACCATTCTTCCTTTCTTCCTTACTCTGTTACTATTCCTTAAGCCTGTTATGATAAGAGTTTGTATGTTCTTTTGCTTCTAAAATTACCTTCTTCGCTGGAGCTCTTGGGCGAAGCTGTATCTGAAAGTAGATCAGTGGCAAAATGACCAGTTGTCATTTGTTTCCAGAGATTTTCTGAAGTCCAGCTCAATGTCTGGCACATAGGTGCTCAGAAAACTGTGCAGTTTTCTTAATCCTTTATCTTGATTATCTTGTTTCCACTTGTGAGGGAAGAAACAGGATTTCCTACTGTGAAATTTTACAACTTGTGAAATGAGCTGATGGTTTTATTTATCAGTGACCGCTCAGGAACTCTCATCAGGTAAATGAATTAGGTAAAACAATAGTTGGTTTGTTAGAAAGAAAACCTACCCATTTTTTCTTTTATTCTTTCTTGTTATGGAAGCATTCTGACCTTGAGCTCTGTGAATATACACATACACAATTATTACAATACCATAGACATTCGTATTCATTTTGGAACCCAGACGACTTACACTGCAGGGAGATGTGATGGGCCATTGGGAGCCTTCTGGGTCTGTGTTTTCTTGAACACTTGTAGACATCCATCTGTGTGTTGTTCAGTTTATGTATTTAACCATAAGTGTGTATATCTGTGTGGCTGTATATTTGTGCATTTGTGTATATTCTAATGCACATCCCCACACACGTGCTTTGGGTCTGTGATGTGAATAGGTTGTGGAGTAGGGAACATCCAGGGAGTTGGTAAGGGCCAATTGGAGTGTTTCTGGATGTGTTCTATCTCGGGTTGATTTTTGATAGCTGCTTTAAATTTTCCTTGTTTCTAAAGCTCATAACATAAAGCCTCTGGTATTTTCATGTAGGAAAAGGCTCATCTTTAAAAGATATTTTCTTCTCAAATGGTCAGCATGGAGGAAGAGGATCTTCTCACTCATTTATTTTGCTTCCACTTCTGCCTTCCTTCCTTCTCTTCTCCAGTTTCTGGGAAAGAACAGCTAGTCTTAACTATTAGATCAGAAGTCATTTCAGAACCCATGAGATGCTCTGTGTAGCCTGCTACATGTGGCTTAAAAATTCTTCCTAGGGTTTCTGGTTCATCTCTCAAGAGAGCAGTGCCCTTGATTCCTTGAGATATGTATCAGTCTGCTAACTGTTTTGTGGAACACTTACTACCCAGCACCCACCTGTCAGCCGAGTAGTTCCTGGAATCTGTAATTCAAAAATCAGTGACATTTGAAAAAGAATTTGGAACTTAGGGACTATAGGGTTGCCAACTTTAAAGTTTATGAAAATTTTACTCCGTTATCCTTATCCTTTTTATTTATTTATCTGTATTCTGAAGGTCTTAGTTATTCTGCATTGTATGTTTTGTACTACATAAAATTGACAGCACAATACCCTGCCTTCATCCTCCCTAGCCCCATTATTTTAGGATGCAACAACTTATACCACTTAAGATGTTAAAATGGAATTTACTTGGCAGTTAGAGGGAAAAGGATTAACAATATCTAAACACAGGAGTTAATGAATTCAACATCATTCCTGCTAAAGATCAGGCACCCAAATGTAAAGTAAAAGACTATATTGAGAGGGACATCCCAAAGACATCCCCAATTGGAAAATGAACCGAGTAATGAAAAACTGAGATAGCCCCAAGAGCTAACAAAGAGCAAAAAAATTTAATTTTGCTGAACTCCCAATTTGCCAATTTTTCCTTTTATGTTTCTTTTTGTGTGTGTGTGTGTGTTCTGAGAAACTTAGCCAACTGCAAAATGCAGATATTTTCTTGTATGTTTTCTCCTAGCGTTCATATAGTTTCAGGTTCTACATTTAGGTTTATGATCCATTTTAGGTTAATTTTTATTTATGGTGTGGGGTGAGAATTGATACTCACTTTTATACATATGAATATTCAGTTGATCAAGCACCATTCATTAAAAAGACTTTTCTTTTCCCATACAATTGTTTTTTCACCTTTGTCAGATTAGTTGACCCTACATGTTAAGAGTCTACTTCTGGACTCTGTATTCTGTTCCATTGATCATTTGTCTACCTTTATGTGAATACAAACTATTTTGATTTCTGTAATTTTATAGTAAATCTTACAGTCGGGTAAGTGTAAGACCTTGTTAATCCTACAATTTTGTTCTTTCAAAGTTATGTTGGCTATTCTATGTCATTTACATGACCATATAAATTTTGGAATCAGTTTTTACAAAGAAGCTAACTGAAATTTTGATTGGCATTGCTTTCAATCTGTAGATCAATTTGGAGAGAACTACCATCTTAACAAAATAGAGTCTTCTAATCCATGAACTTGGTATCTCTTTGCATTTATTAGGTCTTCTTTAATTTCTTTGTGCCTTGTTTTATAGCTTTCAGTGTAGATGTGTTAGATCTACTACTGGCTATTTAATATTTTTTGGTGCTCTGTAAATGGAATCATTTTTTGAAATTTTATTTTTTTAATTTTTTACTTTAATGTTTATTTCTTTTTATTTTTGTGAGAGAGTGTGAGCAGGGTAGGGGCAGAGAGAGAGGGAAACACAGAATCTGAAGCAGGCTCCAGGCTCTGAGATGTCAGCACAGAGCATGTTGTGGGGCTTGAACTCACAAACCAGAAGATCATGACCTGAGCCAAAGTTGGACCCTTGAGCCATTCAGGCACCCCTAGTTTTTTTTAATGTTTATTTTTGAGAGAGAGAGTGTGAGTAGGGGAGGGACAGAAACAGATAGAGACACAGAATCTGAAGCAGGCCCCAGGCTCTGAGTTGTCAGCACAGAGCCCAATGTGAGGCTCAAACTCACGAACCAGGAGATCATGACCTGAGCTGAAGTCGGACACTTAACTTACTGAGCCACCCAGGCACCTCTGAAATTTTATTTTTAAAACTCTTTGCTGCTAATACATAAAATGGATTTTTGTGTATTTATTCTTGTATCTTGTCATCTTGCTAAATTTGTTTATTAGTTCCAGTGGTAGGTATGTAGATGCCCTGGAATTTTCTGTTTAAGCGTTCATCATCTGCAAATAGGGATGGCTTTATTTTTCTTTTCCTTTTTATTTTCTTTAATGTTTAATTCTGAGAAATAAAGTAAAAGCACGGGGGTGGGGGGTGGACAGAGGATCTGAAGTGGGCTCCACAGTGACAGTAGTGAGCCCAGTGCACGGCTCAAACTCCTGAACTGTCAGACTGTGACCTGAGCCAAAACCAAGAGACTTATGCTTAACCGACTTAAGCCACCCAGGCACCCCTGTTTTTTTTTCTGATATTTATGCCTTTTATTTCTTTTTCTTGCCTTATTGCAGTATCTAAGACATTAGATAGACATAGTGATTGTCTTGTTTTCAGTCTCAGGAAGGGGAACGTTTCACCTTAAAGTATGATGTTGGCTGTAGGCTTTTTTGTAAGATGAGATACCCTATATTACTTTAAGTAAGTTCTCTTCTTTTCCTAGTTTCATTTATCTTGAATGGGTGTTGAATATTGTCATATGCTTTTTTTTTTTTTTTTTTGCATCTATTGGAACAGTCATGTTCTCCTTTATTCTGGTAATATATCACATATTTACCTCTTAATATGGTGAATTACCTTAATTGACTTTTGATTATTAAACCGACCTTGCATTCTTAGAATAAACTCTACTTGGTTATGATTTAGTTTCCTTTTTATATTAGAGTCTATTGCAAATATTCTGTAAGATTCTGTTCTAAAACTTTAAGTTGGATTCTGTTGCTAATATTTTGTTAAGAATGTGTGTGTCTATATTCAAGGGGGTATTGGTCTGTGATATTTTTTTTATAATTGTCTTTTGTCAGGTTTTGGTATTTGGGCAATTTTGGCTTTATAGAAAAAATTAGGCCATGATTTTTCTTCCACTTTTTTGAAAAGTTTGATAAGATCAATTTTATTTCTTCATTGTATATTTGATATAATTTTCCATTAAAGCCCTCTGGGTTTTCTTTTGGGAATAAATTTTGGATAAATTAATTCTTTTACTAGAAAAAGGCTGTTCACAAGGCTGTTCTTGTGTCAGTTTTGTTAAGTTGCATTTTCAAGAAATGTGACCATTTTTTACCAAATTGTTGAATTTGTTGGCATAGCATTTTTGTACTATTCTTTCAATATTGTATCATTTTTAAATGATAATCCCCTTTTCATTCCAGATATAGGTGATTGATCTGTTTAGTTGGGGTTGGGGGTGGGAGTGGATATCAATTTTGTTGATCTTTTTAAGGAACCACTTTGGGGTTTGTTAACTTTCTCTGTTGTATGTGTGTGTTGTTTTATTGCTTTCTGCCCTTTATTATTCCCCTCCTTCTATTTACTTTTGGTTAACTCTCCTCTTTCTTTCTTTCTTTTTTTTTTTTTAGAGCTGCTTAAGGTGGGGATATTTGTTTTTAAAGATTTGTAATTGGAGGACTTAAAGGACTTCATTTGATTTATTTAATAAACATTTACTAAGATCCTATAATTTGATATACAGGCACTATCATAGGCATTTAAAGCCATGAAGACAAGGCAAGTTGCTTATACGATAGTAGACATTGATACGTGTCTACAATGTGTTATCAAAAGTGGCACATCATTGAAATTAGTGTAAGAAAGCTTATAACCAAAAGTGGCACATCACTGAGTTTTATATAAGAAAGCTTATAACCATCACTACTTAATATTTTCTTACACATTTTCCATTTTTTAACCAAATGACTGTTATTACATAATAGAAAGCAAATTCTTCTATGTTAGTGACAAGTTCCAAGTGTCTTGTTCTGTCTTACAGATAATTTATTGTTTGTAATCAACTCCATCAAGCAAGAGATTGTAAACCGAGTACAGAATCCAAGAGAAGAGAGAGGACCCAACATGGGGCAGAAGCTTGAAATGCTCATTAAAGATACTCTTGGTAAGAAGAATATTGGATAAATTAGTAACAGTGACATGTAGTGTAAGATGTATAATTTAAGGAGATATTAATAATTCTTTTAAGGAAAAATTCAAATGCTCTTATTGTAGTTACTCTTCTTTATGAGTTGTTTTGTCTTTTGAGATTTTGCATTCATGAATGTGTATTGCTGGTTACCACAATTCGTTATTTACACTTCATTTTATTGAACTGTTTTAACACTTAGGAGAAATGAACTTCTGGCAACTTTACCTTTTGTGAGGAAAGGAAAGATCCCTGAGCCATCAAGCCTATAAATTATTCTTTGGTGGAGGTTCTTACCAATACATTTACTCAGTAATATATTTCATAGGATTCTAGTAAACATAGCTGTATGCTTTTCCCTGAACAGATTATACAACATGGGGGAGGAACAGAGAGGCAGGCATCCAGCAGTCAAGCAGAGGAATACCTGATGCAGGAAAGAGGGAGATAATCCAGACATGAGGACTCCAGAGGCGCTGGAGCTGAGCTGCTTTAGGAGCAGATCGCCTTGGGAATAGCAGCCCAAGGACAGTGCAGCATAGTGCAACCCATTAGAACCCTGAAGCCTCATAAAATTGGTTCAGCTGTTTTATGTGTTCTTTAACAGTATTTATCCTAGGACGGCCTTTTAAAAACTGGTTCTCATGTAGTCATTATGTAGAGTGCCATACTTCAGCTATCTGAGAATTTTCTTCCAGTTCATTTTTCTCTAGGATGCTGATTGTGTATTGAATGAGGTCACTCAGAAGAATTAGAGCTTACATTTTTTTTTTAAGTTTATTCATTTATTTTGAGAGAGAGAGCAAGCAGGGGAGGGGCAGAGAGAGAGTAAGAGAGAGAATCCCAGGCAGGTTCTGCACTGTCCGTGCAGAGCCCAACATGGAGCTCAAACACAAACTGTGAGACCGTGACCTGACCTGAAACCAAGAGCCGGCCACTTAACCGACTGAGCCACCCAGGGACCCCTAGAGTTTACTTTTTAATAATTATTTAGTTCCTTACCTGAATTCTAGAGTAACAAACACTATAAATCATTCTATTTTCATAAAACTGTAAATATCTCAGAATTTCTTTCACATTTCTGTTAAGACAATTTTTCTTACTTCCAGTTACTATAAATTCATTCATCAAAGTTTTGTCAATGCCTACTCTATGCCCATTGTGGGGGAATACAGGGAGGGATAACAGACTTGGTCACTATTCTTATGAAGATTGTAGTCTAAAAATGGAAGACAAAGAATAAACAGAAAAAAATAATAACAAATTGTGGCAATCACTGTGATGTGAAGAAATCAAGATGTTTCAATGGAGTGAAGTGAGCAACAGTTTATTTCTATTTTTTTTAATATAATTTATTGTCAAATTGGCTAACATACAGAGTGTAAAATGTGCTCTTGGAATTTGGGGTAGATTCCCATGGTTCATCGAACAGCTTATTTCTATTTATATAGAAATACTTCTCACAGCTATGAAAATGATTGTATTTTCTTTAATTAAAAAAAAACACACATTGAATGCTTCCACACATGTGCCCACAATGCATGTTTCTGATGGTCTTTGAAATTATTAGTGTGTCGCTGTCAGCATTGTGTTCATACTGAATGTAAAATATTCTAGTGTATTTGACGGCAGTTTGGAATCATTAGTAAAATTCGCAACGCGTATAGATTTTGACAAAACAGTTTCTTAAAATTTGACAACACTTAACGTTTGAAGGCCAAAGGAGAAGATTTGTAAGAGAGATTAAGGGCCAGGAAAGAAGGCTTCCTCAGGTGTTGGGAAGGGATAAACAGCTAACATTTACTGAGTACTTACTATGACCTAGGGCCTGTCTGCTAAGGTTGTTTAGTCATTTACTTTCACAGTTCTGTGAAGGAGGTATAATTATTCTAGTTTCAAAAATGAGGAATTGGAAACACAGTCATGTATTAAAGTAATTGATGAGTTATACATTCAGTAAATGGCTGAACCAGGAGTAGAAGTTAAGTTCTTTGAGTTCCGGTGTAAACACTGCCCCCACATACCATCATTTAGCCCTGTCATCTGACACCTGTCTCTGTAGAATTTGACCTGAATAGTTGACAAATGGCCAACTAAGAGCTTCAGCCAGTAGGCTTACTTGAGAATTTCTTTTTCTTGACACTCATTGTAACAGTTGGCACTTGTGAGCACTTGAAACATTTTCTTTATTTTAAGGTGCCTTAGAGCTGCATGCCTTGTTTCCTATCTTTTAACCAAAACAACACTAGTGGTGTCTCTGTGGCTCTAGCAAAAGCCCGTGGTCTGAAAATTAAAATCATGTTTTCCAAACACAGAAGCTTGTTTAGTGTAGTGGTTGAAATCAGAGTATTTGAAATCGGTTCTAGATTGAACTCCTGGCCCTGCCACATACCACACGAGGACCCTAGGGAAGTGACTTCACTTCCCTCAACCTAACTTTATTTATTTGTTTGTTTGCTTGTTTATTATAAAATATGGACAATTGTGTGGATTAATTGGGAAGAGTGTATATAAAACACTTAGCACCCTGCTGAGCACATAAATTCTCAATATTCAAGTACTAGCTGTTGATGTTATCTATTACGTCGTAACCATTTAGATTATTTTTTCTAAAAGTTTTATTTCCACCTTATTCCTAAAACCCATCATTCATATTTTAGAAAACTGAAGATTATTTTTCCTGACAAAATTAGTCAAATGCTTAAGTTGCATGTTTACAACATAATATTCACCTGATAATTATTGGTGATATAATTGGTTAACAAGATAGATATAATTTTTCCATTTCAGTATTCCAAATGGTATGGCATTTCAGTGATTATTGCTTATCAATAGTTAATAATTCTTTTTGCTAAGTTTTGGAAAATGACTTATAAATAGTGACTAGGTAAGTTCATTGAATAGTAAAATGAATATGTAATTGTTATATTCACAGAATTACCTTTTCAAAAGTCGAGTTGTACATATGTATCAAAATAGAGTACAAACAAAACCAAGAACCATATATTTATACAGAAAATAAACAGTATGAAAGGTCAGAAGTTTATTTTGAACAAAATTATATTTATGTAGAAAACAATCTTAGGTAAAGAGTGGATCCTAAATATCAATATTTTCCTAAACAACCAGTTACTTTTTACCTCATGTAGATGAATTCAGTATGCAAATAGAAGTCATGGTGAATTTGCTTGACTTTTTCTTCAAACAAATGGATGCTATTTTAATAATTGATGTATTCTTTCAGTGCATTTCTGCCTTTAATATTCTGTACAATAATTTTCAGTTCCTTTATTAGGTAGAGGGAGGAACTTAATATTACAAGTAAAGATTCTTTTTACCTTTTCAGTTTTTAATTTAAAGACCTTATATGTTGATATGTTTGTATATTCTCTTTATATCCAAAAGGTCAGTTTCTAATTCCTTGACTCATATTTTCTTTCCTTTTTAGAAAAATATTTTTAATGTTTATTATTATTTAGGGAGAGAAAGAAAGCACGAGCAGGGGAGGGGCAGAGAGAGAGACACAGAATCCAAAGCAGGCTGACAGCTCTGAGCTGTCAGCACAGAGCCCCACGTGGGGCTCAAACTCATGAACCCCAAGATCATGACCTGAGCCAAAGTCAGATGTTTAACCAACTGAGCCACCCAGGCACCTCTTTCCTTGAGTATTTAAATATGTTTCTCCATTTTTCTTTAGGCATGAAATGTTTCACTTAAAAAGCTAATGATTGCCATTAAAAAATTTTTTTAAAAAGGGGGGGCCATCTGGGTGGCTCAGTCGGTTAAGCGTCCGAGTTTGGCTCAGGTCATGATCTTGCGGCTCGTGGGTTAGAGCCCTCCATCAGGCTCTGTGCTGACAGCCGGCTCAAGAGTCTGGAGCCTGGTGGGGCGCCTGGGTGGCTTAGTCGGTTAAGCGTCCGACTTTCGCTTAGGTCATGATCTCGCGGTTTGTGGGTTCGAGCCCCGCATTGGGCTCTGTGCGGACTGCCAGCTCAGAGGCTGGAGCCTGTTTCAGAGTCTGTGACTCCCTCTCTCTCTGACCCTCCCCTGCTCACACTGTCTCTCTCTCTCTCTCTCTCTCCTAGAAATAAATAAAAAAAAACATTTAAAAAAATTAAAAGAAAAAAAAGAGTCTGGAGCCTGTTTTGGATTCTGTATCTCCCTCTCTCTCTGATCCTCCTCTGCTCATGCTGTCTCTCTCTCTCTCTCTCTCTCTCAGAAATAAATAAAACATTAAAAAAAATTTTAAAACAGCTAATGATTGCCTTTTTTTTCTTATAAGCTATTTGCTAATCTTTGCCAAGTTGTCAATAGGATTTTTCCTTTTCTTTAAATATTTGTTTTATTTTTGAGAGAGAGACTGTGAGTGGAGGAGGGGACAGAGGATCCAAAGTGGGCTCCACACTGACTGCAGTGAGCTCAACATGGGCTTGAACTCGTGAACCCATGAGATCATGACCTGACCCAAAGTTAGATGCTAAACCAGCTGAGCCACCCTGGCACCTTTCTTTTTCTTTAATCTTAGTAATTTCACTAGACTTTGTCTTGGAGTTGGTCATTTTAGGTTGATATTGTCATATGTGCGTACTATGCCCTTTCGTTATGTAGTTTCAAATCTTTTTACTATTTGACCTGTTTCTTCACTTTGTTTTGTTGTTGTTATTGTTCAGGGATTTATTATCTGTGGGTTGGATCTTCTTTGCCTATCTTCTGTATTTTCTGTGGTATATTTAATTTTTATCAATTTTTTGTCTCCTAATTTCTTTTTTATTTTAACATTATTTCTTCTTCACACCTCTGTGTCTCTTAAAAACATTATTGTGTTTATTTGCTGCTCTTGTCATTTTTTAGTTTTCTCTTAAATTCAGAAATTAATTTTTTTTCCAATTCTTTTCTGAGTTCTTTCACCTTATTTCTGAGTTTTTTTTCTATTTCTGATTTAAGTTGTTCGTTCATGTAACATTTTCTCTAATGTG